AAACAAACCAGGGCTTATTCCACCATATGACGTAATAATAATAATAATAATGTTTATTCAACCTTTGTATCGGCAGCATGAAAACAGTAAAAAAAAACGTAGTACGTTCATGGTCCACCCATGGTCTACTATAGATTTTACCCAAGCAGCTTGTTTTTCACAGTAGACATTTCAAATTTTTCTGCATTTTCCCCTGTGAAAATTCATGAATATAGCCCTATTTTACTGTTATGCTAAATTTTGTTTTTTGCTGCTTTTTTTTGGGGGGGGGTTGTTGTTGTTGTTGTTGTGAATGGCCATTTTTGTCCTCTCCGGGAGATACAATCACTAAATTGTGAGTCATACATAAATCTAGAAACATAATCTGTAAAAGCATACACCGATGGATAATAAATAAGAAGCGACTGGACCAACTAAAGTGAGAAAAGAGTAATATTCTAAAGACGAAAAACACCTAAGCCGCCAACTCTCAGAGATTAAACTAAGTGCTCATGGGTAATTTCAATTTCAAAACTCTGTCTTCATCTACTATGTAAACTCATGCTTATGTTCCCGCCGTCAACAACTGGTGCAAACATCCTTTGAAATGAATACACAGATGCTTATTTAAATACAACACCAGATAAACAAAGATATTGCATAACCTTGAATGCAGACCAGAGCTGCTTGTAATAATTGCATGTGCCCAGCTGCTCTATGTTAGAACAAACATGGTGCTGAAATTAAAACATTTCAGGTTGGCGTTGATCCATTATTGCGTAAATACTGTCTGTTTCGTCACATAACATAATTAAAAGTAGGGCATGTACTTTTTGGGTGCATATGTTTACCTGCTAAGTCTAGCACTAACGGAAAAAAGGTTGAAATAGGAGATTGTGGTGTATGTATGTTCGTTGGGATGTTCGTTTACACAGGGATGGGGGGAATTCTAAATTTGAATTGTGGGTTTTTCTTGAACTAAGACTTACTGTGACCACGAGAAAGAATGGACCAATAATATTGTAGTCCGAGTCACTGTTTACTTGTACTTGTATATATTGCTCACAATGTAACCATTGCTTCCTGTGGCAACACTTTGTTAGCAATATTGGCGTTCTATTCTTTCTTGGTGTACTGTATGTATATCAGCAATGACTTTAAGACGTGTATTCGAATCCCTTTCTTTTCATGCTACCATGGAACTATAAACCATGATTATAGTTCCATGATGCTACCAATCTGGTTTTCACGCACCAGTTGATTTACACTGAGACTAGTAATATAGTATTACTAGTCTGAGATTTACACAAGACCGCAGAGAGACTGCCATTTTGGAACTACTAGATGGTGAACGGTTCCAAGTAAATATATGTTTGACTCGTTGCGTGTTCCACTTTCACAGCCCCAAAACATAGTTCCCGACAGGCTCTGGTTCCCGGAATACCCCGCCACGACGTTACTAGCTTGGACCGGATAGGCATGCTAGAGGGGAGACAAGGGGGGTAGCTGGTACGGTTTTACGGGAAATAAAAAGGGCTTTTCACAATTTACGAAGAAAAAAAGACGTTTTTACAGTTTACAGTGTTAACAAATGGAAGAGCTCTCGGACTCAAATTCTCCATTGCTGCGCCGTGTGAAGAGACGCATGCGCATATTACCCTCGTAATGCTCTTCATTCGGCTAGAGGGTCTTTTACGTCTTGACATTCAATTTTGTAGTGAATTGTGTCATCTAGTCGTTTTACAGTTTCTAAAATGTAATTTCCCTGGATTATTCTTTACGATTTTTTTATTTGGATGTGAATTTTTGTACGTACGAGAAAAATGACACATTTTTACAGTGTACGAAAAAAATATTTGATCGATTACGTTGTACGTCTAGCCTGTGATTACAGAATTACGGAATTTATTTTTTCAATTTACGTAGTACGAACAAAAAAATATTGCAATTACGTTGAACGAAAATAACCCTTGCCCCCCCCCCCATGCTAAATTCGGCTACCATCTTGTCCTATTCACAGGCACTTGTCAAGTATGTGTAAGAAATGGACGAAGCTTACCTACCTTGTTTATATTTATTATATGCGCGTACGTGAATAAACTCTTGTCAATCACTATTACGTAACAGTGACGGTAAATAAACTAACATATACTACCTGTTTATAAGCATGTTTGTTTTCCGTCCACGGCGCATCATGAGGCATTTAATTAAATCATTGGAAGATTTACAAAAAAAAGCAAGCTAGACACCGCAAGAGAAAAATGCATGTCAGTTGTTACAGGAAAAAAATGAAGAAAAGAAATGTACAGCTATCCCCTATGATTTCAAATTGACCCTTTAGGAAAAGAAATATTACACTGCGACCAGTTACACGTTAGTTACGTGACAACATTATTTATTTTTACATCTTGACAGACCACAGTATCAAATGTATCTGTCTTGTTCGGTCTCCCTCCCACGGTGCTCTTGAATAACCAAGCATGGAACTCCATGCAGTTACCAGCAGTTGATTTGGTGTTTACGTTATAGATTTACAACTCTCGTTTTTATGCAAATTTTAATCTTTGTAGGAATATTTTGTGTTTATTTTTATTCCTTTCAACACCACGTGGTCACACATGTTCGCGTGATTTCCTGTTGGTTTTAGATCACGCGAGTTCACACTTTCGGGGCAGGTGATTGAACGTGATCAGCCGAGGCTAAACGTATTTGATCGTGATTGACGGGAAACCTGTACGCCTATAAAAGAGTTCATCTCAGTGGTAAGATAACAGTATTCTTTGGTCTATCCACAGTCTCTCTGATCTACCAAAGCATTTATAGCTTCACACAGTCATGGCTTCCGAGAATAAGAAGATGCCCGGTAAGTGTAATTTTCCAGATATTTTTTTTCCGTCTGTTCAGTTTATGGCCGTCCTACAGTAAAATACAGTGGTTGCATTTCATATCGGGAATATTCTTCCTATACCTAATAGTCTAATAGTAGCTGGATCTCAACGTCTTCTACGTGACATTTTTCCCATTTTTTTTTTAATTTGGAGAAAGAGAAAAATACGTTTCAGTTTCTTTTTAGTCAACGATATGTGGTTTAATTTGGCTCAATAGCTTTTTGAAAATAAAAATGGCCATTCGTCTGCCAATTTTGATCAGAACCATACCACGACAATGTAACAAGTTTTAATCCAATCCAAGCCATCCATGCACGCCTGAAATCCGGTCAAGAAACTAAATTCGTTTTCGGAATGAAATAATTGCTTAATATTGTCGACTCTTTAGCACTACAACTGCAACGAGACAGCTTACATCTGCTCGCTAAACGAACACACGTGCACATATGTCCTAAGATTTATCAAAAAAATATCTATACCATGAAAGTTGCGCCCTTTATGCCGTTGTAACGTGTTCTCATATTTTACTCCGACGTAACTATAACCGCCGTCCCTCAACACCGTGATGGACGGTGTTATAACGTACTATTTACGTCATTTTAAAATCCCTTTACTCTGCGTAACGTGTTCACAGTAGTTAAACCAATGCAAAGGGACATAAAACAAGACGTGTACACGGTACTAGCAACACTTTCACAAAGATTGTAGCCTATACCGTAAATGTGGCAGTAAAGCGAACAAATCAAGTCTCTTGCAATTAAATCGATATTCTTTAATTAATACATGTATAAAGTAATCAGAATTAAAACAAATCACAGCGATGAACGAAATAAAAATAACATCAAACCAAACGTAATCGAACAAGCTCTTTTTATCATCACATGTTGACTGACTAATGTTGTATCATAGCAATGAAGAGACCCTCTTTGTAAATGTGAATCAACTGCAGTGTTGTACAATGCAATTACTTGCCTAATCTTTCAATATTATATATTTTCGGCTTCGTGTGATTACAGGGTTCAGCTCACAACTTGCAATGATAAACACACTCATATACAGTAGACTAAATTTCGCCTTTTTTTTCATTTTTTTTTCTCAGGTCAGTACGACTACATCATTGTTGGTGCAGGTCCAGGTGGATGTCAGATGGGTTACTTCCTGGAGAAGAAAAAGCGTAGTTACGCAATCCTGGAAATGAATGATTTACCAGGTTCGTCCTTCGCAGAACACCCACGTCATCGTACTTTGATATCGATCAATAAAAGATTCAACCCATTCCCAGAACCGGAATACAACATGCGACATGACTGGAACTCGTTGCTAAGCGATGATCCCGAACTCCTCTTTACCAAATACTCTAAAGAGCTGTTCCCAAATGCTGATGATCTGGTTCGCTACATGAATGATTTCGCGAAGAAGTTTAACCTCAACATTCATTACAATACCCGAGTGCAGAAGATAAAGAAACTGGAAAGTCAACCCAAATCCAGCGAAAATTTCTCTCTGCAAACGTCCAAAGGCGAGTACCGATGCAAAGTTCTGTTAATGGCTACTGGTGCACGTGACGAGAAAGTTCCCAAGAAAATCAAAGGTCACGAGCTTATGGAGACGTACTGTAACCACAGTCTTGACACCGAGAAATACAATGGGAAGAAAGTATTGATTCTCGGTAATGGCAACAGTGCTTTCGAAGTTGCTAACCACCTCGCTGGAGCAGCTAGTATAATACATATATTTGGAGATCGGAAAGTAAAGCATGCTTGGGACACTCACTTTGTAGGTAAGTAACAAGTTGGCGATAATTCTAATTCTAACATTATTTCACACGACATTTTACTCGAGGCACTTTTCAAATTCAGCTCTCCATATTCGGAGACATTTAAATTCAACACTCGATAGTTAATGCATATTTATACAACATTCTATATTCGGTGTAATATACTAATTCTAGGTTCCATATATGAAATGTACTCTTGCATCATTTAGTATGTATACAATCTGATTAAAATCTGATGTA